GTCATTGAGGGTACTTAGGTCATTTAGTAGTCAAGTCTATCTTGATCACTTCGGATTTTCTGAAGTAATTCGGTCATTTTTGCAAATTGTAATACATACAGAACTTTCATTCAGTTCAACTTGGTTATATAATAGTCATTTTGGTATTCGAGGTTGATTTATTCATTTCAGAGCTGAGGGTATTTTGTTATTCCAAAGCTTGGACGTACTTCGAATCATATTACACTTCAGGGGCATTCCAAATAAATCAGGAATTTAATTAGTGATTCTAAGATTCGAGTGAATAAAAATATAAGTTCAGATCGTCTCCATTATCATATCCATCCACAGTCTTTTCCATATTTTAAGTGTATTATCGTCATTTGAACAATTGAGGTTATTTTGTAGCTTGAGGACATTTCAGTAATTCCTACCAATCCAAACAATATACAATATTTATAATAATTGGTAACATTTTTCTTTTTTAGGTTATTCTTCACAGTCAGGGGAAGTCTTGGTCTTTTACAGCACAAAGGCATTTTCGTAATTTTACCCCATAGGGCCTTTTTTTAATTTTTTATCCAAAAAATCCCGGTATTTTACCTTTAAAGAAAATTTATCAAAATTTAAGGATCTTAAAGTCAATTAATTTATTAATGAATCACTGAACTTATAATTATTTCTAATCAATCTTTCAATTTCTTATGCGAGCCATCTATGCCATATTTGGTTACCGACTTTTTATCGTATTCAGATCGACTTTAGCAATAATTTACTATACATATGAGACCAATCATATTCATCCATGTATCTACCAATTTCCAACATGTTCTATAAAGCATGCATAAGGTAATAACGTATTACCTCGATTTCTGTGCCATATTGATTGACCATTTAAACTTTATTCGATCGCCCTCGAACTTTAATTATACTTCCAATAATTCCTTGGATACATAGCAAATAATTTTACGTCAGAAACTTAACTTAATCAAAAAACCAAGTTGAATCCGAATGTAAAACACTAAAAAATAACTTACTGAGTACGAATTTGGCAAAATGGACTTTGAATTCAGACTCAGGACGTCGAAAAACATAAAATATGATTTTTCGAAAAATTGACTTTTTTGTGTCAACGTCAACGGCTTGACTCAGATGAGTTGACTCTGACAAGTTGACTAGGATAATTTAACTTAGTCCGAGTGAACTCAGATCGGGTTGGGCCGGTTCAGACCGACTGGATTGAAATGGTAAGATCATATTTTTTTTTAAGAATAACAAGGTTAAAGATGGAAAATATGACTATATTTTTTCATATTTGAATTTTAATGATGACATTGACCTGTGGAATGGTAATCATCTTGAGTTTATAATGGTATAATTTTCATTTTCCATTAAATGTATTTTTAATTCATTTTAGTCCTTAAAATAACAAATGTTCATAGATTTTTGTTAAGAAAAATCAAGAATTCTCTCTATCTTCCTCATTTGTGTCGTGAACTCCATAGACAACAAGAGAAAATTTTAGTTTTCATTTTCAAGCCAAGTTACTTGTATTTTGGATGAAAGCATGATATAGGAAATTAAGTTATATGGAATTTTATATTTTTTGGTGTAATTTGTTCATGTTTTCCTTGCATAAATCCTTAGTTTCATGAATATGGTGGATGAAGGGGAGGTTGGATTTTCATGTTTTATAGATAGATTTTGATGTTGTTGATATTGTAGAATCATTTCCATGCATGTATGATGATTGAAAATAATTGAAACTGGTTACATAAGGTTAAGCCATGGTAGGGTTTTATAATAGAGATTGAAATTGGATTGAATTTGATATGGGATTGATTATAAATGTATGGAAATTATGTTTAGAGATTGAATTCATGTTTGAATCAAGTTGGAAATCGTGTATAAGATACCTAGAATAATTTGACCTGTCACACCCCATTATATGGGTCAAATTATAAGTTTTTGAAATCATAGGCACTTTTAGAAAGTTACAGGAAATTTGGGGACCAAAATGAATGTTTTTGGAATTTATAGGCCTTTTAACCCTAATATTACCGTTTTTATTACTTAGGCAAAATAAACCCCCGACTAGTTAACCCTAATTTCACCCCCAAAATTATCAATTCCAAAATCTCTAACCCCGTCGGCTTCACTACCCCGATTCCCCACCATCCGACCGCCCCAACCGGTGCTGCCACCCCAAAACGATAACCACCTTACTCCGATCAAAACTCGACTGCTCTAAAGCTTCGACGAATAACCCAAAACTTTAAGTTTGTTTCTGAATATTTTTTGCCGATTTCGTCGTCGGTTGGCTTCACCGCCACCATCATCTGGTTTCCCGTCCTGTTTCGACCAAAACCTAGTAGGGTTTGTACCTCGCCACTGTCTCCATCGATCGTCGGTTGGGGAAGGTCTCGTACGTTTATGGGTTGATTTGAATTGTTTGGGTTGAAGTTGGAGTAATGTGTACATATATTTTGTTTTGTTGAAGCTTCCAGAATAATCGACCGATTGAATCGCCCCTTGTCGTTGTCTCATGCAATACCACGTACCTCCGTGTACGTATGAGATTCCTCCTCTGCCCTAGAAATCAACTAGAACGGGTCCAGCCGGTCTGAACCGACCCAACCCGATCTGAACCGGTCTGTTTGACTCGACTGAGTTCACTCGGACTAAGTTAAATTATCCTAGTCAACTTGTCAGAGTCAACTCATCTGAGTCAACCCGTTGACGTTGACACAAAAAAGTCAATTTTTCCGAAAAATCATATTTTATGTTTTTCGACGTCCTGAGTCTGAATTCGAAGTCCATTTTGCCAAATTCGTACTCAGTAAGTTATTTTTTAGTGTTTTACATTCGGTTCAACTTGGTTTTTTGATTAAGTTAAGTTTCTGATGTAAAATTATTTTCTATGTATCCAAGAAATTATTGGACGTTAATTAAAGTTCGAGGGCGATCGAATAAAATTTTAATGGTCAATGAATATGGCACAGAAATCGAGGTAATACGTTTTTACCTTATGCATGCTTTATAGAACATGTTGGAAATTGGTAGATACATGGATGAATATGATTGGTCTCATCTGTATAGTAAATTATTTCTAAAGTCGATCTGAATACGATAAAAAGTTGGTAACCAAATATGGCATAGATGGCTCGCGTAAGAAATTGAAAGATTGATTAGAAATAATTATAAGTTCAGTGATTCATTAATAAATTAATTGACTTTAAGATCCTTAAATTTTGATAAATTTTCTTTAAAGGTAAAATACCGGGATTTTTTGGATAAAAAATTAAAAAAAGGCCCTATGGGGTAAAATTACGAAAATGCCTTTGTGCTGTAAAAGACCAAGACTTCCCCTGACTGTGAAGAATAACCTAAAAAGGAAAAATGTTACCAATTATTATAAATATTGTATATTGTTTGGATTGGTAGGAATAACTAAAATGTCCTCAAGCTACGAAATAACCTCAATTGTTCAAATGACGATAATACACTTAAAATATGGAAAAGATTGTGGATGGCTATGATAATGGAGACGATCTGAACTTATATTTTTATTCACTCGAATCTTTGAATCACTAATTAAATTCCTGATTTATTTGGAATGCCCCTGAAGTGTAATATGATTCGAAGTACGTCCAAGCTTTGGAATAACAAAATACCCTCAGCTCTGAAATGAATAAATCAACCTTGAATACCAAAATGATCGATTATGGCCTGACTCTCTAATGTCCCCAGTAGAGTCGCCAAGCTATCAAAATGATCCTTAAGCATTTTTAGAACTATGACGGGGAGCGATCCAACTTAATTTTGGAAAAGATTGGTTTTTTTAAATAAGTAAATAAACTTTGGAGTCGCCATCGACCTTTGGGTGACGTAGGTCGAATACCTAAAAAATATCTTTTAAAATAATTTTAAGGAAAATAATTTTAAAATCTAAATTTTGATCCGCTTTTAACAAGAAATTCGTTTTGAAAAGGGTTTGGGAATCGATTACACGTAGGGAATGATATGTATCCCCACAACGCCCAAAATCAATACCTAAGCGATCATACATCATCTAAATATTGAAAATTTTCTAATTTGAATATACATTTAAATTATGATCCTATTTTAAAAATAAAAGAGGTATTATTTTGTACGAATAATTCTCGAAAATACTTTCCTTGTCAGTTAAGAGACATTTCCACAAATTCTTCATACGAGATAATATTGCCCTAGTTTTTAATGAACTATATATATATATAAATATAAAAAGGTCATTAGGATGTAAAAAACAAAATTTTATATATATTATTTTATTTTGTACGAACAATTCTCATAAATGAACTCCTTGTTAGTTAAGGTATGTTTCCACAAATTCCTCGTACAACATATTATCTCAATATAATACACCTTTACAATAAAGAGAAACCATCGAGGACTTAAACAAAATGCCATCAATACAAGAAACTTAAATGTGAGTAATAGGAAATTAATCGAATATGAAAATGGATAACCAGAGTAAAAGGATAATAACTTTAATGGTTAAATTGTAAAATCGACAAAAAACATGGTTATGAACAAAAATATCGTATAACCTTAACACTGGAATCACAATAAAACCAACATTAACATTAAGGACTAAAAATAAAAGTTATTAAATAGGGTAATTAGGTTGAAACAAGCGTAAAAATAAAGTGCCAAGCAAAAATGGACTAAATTGAATATTCTTCAAAACGCATCATGCAATTTGAGAATTTAAACAGTGATCTAAGTGTAAACAAACACTGAAATTAAGAGGGTTGCAGCATAATTATTCCAAGTTAATAGACTTAAAATAAACTAACAATAGAAATCTACAAAATTCCAAAATCAAGACATCAAAATTAAACTAACGACGAAATAACCCCAATAAGTGACTAAAATGTAAATTCACGGCATTGGTAGAGGGTTCTTAAACTACTTTACCTCTAAAATTCTAGTATTTAACTCACATTTTTTTGTTTCAGCTCAATCGATGACCCTATTCCCACCCCCAAAATAACTCTCTTAACTCCCTCTGTCTTTATGAAACCAGAGAAATACTCCACCGCCGACCACCATGCTCGTCGACGCCTCTGATAGCCGTTAGGCACTAAACTTCAAGGCAAGGTCAATATCGACACCGGGAACTTGGATCCTTCCTTGTCTTTGTGAGAAATGACCCTCAGCCTCGCAAAAACGCTATGAACCTTTTGGTCTTCACTCTCCGATCTACGTCGTTAGACCCTTGTATGGGTTCCGTTTCAAATTATGTTCTTCTTATTAACAAAAGAGGGATACTCACCATTCGGATGTGAGAAATAGGGTTTCGATCACCGAGAAACACCAACGACCGAAGGTAAGGTTCTCCCCCTTTTTCTTTTCTTTGATTTCTAATTCTGATTTTCTTTTTGTTTTATTTGTCTTTGCATGCTAACGTTGTGAATCATCACCGATCGTCACGAACAGTTAACGATAAAAGGGTAAACGTTCTTTTCCTTTTTTTGGTTGCTGATGGCTTTTTCTTTGTATTGCTGATTTTTGTTGTTGATGAACCCCCCTCCAAAAGCTCCCTCGACCTGACTCCGGCGAGGAAATCCGACTGCTCGGGCTAAAAGTAAATGCTTACTCTTTACTCTTCTCTATTTCGTTTCATTTGTTTAGAACATGGTACTGCTTTCTCGTTAAAAAAAAGAAGAAAATAGACTGGTATCTAACCTTTCATTCGTGTATGTGATTGCTATTTTTGTGGCCAATTTTCCAACAAAAAAATCTATTAAAAAATTGGGGGGAATCCCTCTTTACAACCTATTTTTTCTTCTCGAATGGAGAACCCCCATCTGTTACCAAAAATCCCCCTTTTCGAATAGTGGGGAGGGGATTTTAAGGAACCCTTCCTGTTTACAAAATAGTGAGACAACTTTTCTCCTTTCTATTGTTGGTTTGCTATTTTCGTTTTAGGGGTGTTGTTGCTTCTGATTTGTTGTTGTTGCCGCGGATTTTGGTTGGTGATAGCAGCTGATTTGGTGCTGGTGATGGTGCTACACTACTCACGTGAAGGCTTGGGGCTGACAGGGCTATTGTTGTGCTAGATAGGGTACCATCTTAATTGCAAATGGGCTTTGGGATGTATCAGGTATTGTGGGCATTTGTTCCCATGTACTTTTTTATTGTGGGTATTTAATTTTTGGATTTTTAGCCCATTTTGGATTTTGTTCCAGATAATAATAATAATATTAATAATAGGCCATAATTTGGGTTTTATATCGAACAATGAAGACTTCGATTTGGACCCTAAGTACCCAATCAAGCATAAAAAATTACTCCACGCTCATCAAATGTAAAATTCGATGAATTATATTTAACCCATGTAACCCATGTCCTCTGAAGCAAAATGATACCAAATGACTTCAAATTGATCTTCGAACATATTCAATTGGTTTTCGATCGCCTTTAGTGAATTTAAATCATCCGGAAAAAATTAGGGTATTACATGATTAAAATAAAGTTGAGGATCAAATTGTAAAATTTTAAAAGTTTGCAGTTTGGTTTTGGAATCGATAAAAGTTTAGGGACTTGGTCCTAATTTTTCTCAATTTTCTTAGTTAATTAAAACCCGATTAAACTCCCAAAATCCTCAAAATCCCAATTCCTAATTTCCCCCATGTTAGTCTTCATCAATTCCGTCGCCGTTCAACCTCTATAACCGTCGTTGCCACTTCCATCCAAACTGCCACCTCGTTCGAACCAATACCCCCTTGGTTTTAAGTTGTGAATCATTATCGTTCATCGTTAATTGATATTCGATCTAAACATCAAGGAAATCTTTGTCGTCGTTGATTTTATATTTTTTCCAGCCAATCCGATCATTGTTGTAGCACATCGTCGCCTCTATCAACTTCATTGGCGACGTGTGAACAAAACCCAGGGAGCAACGCCTCTATTGCTACACCGTCGTCGACCGTGGTTGTGCTAAGCTCGGTTTTATAACTGGTTAATTTTCTTTCGGTTTTGGCAAGATTTTTGGCTGATGTTTGGCTAAATATTGATTGTAATTGGTTAATTAAAGTTGTAGGAGTAATTTGTCGATCACCTCGAGCCTGTCGTCGCTGCCACGCGCCTTCGCGTGCTCGTGGGGCTTTTCTGCCTTCCCTGGAAACTTTCTAGAACCGATCTAGTTGGTGTAGACCAGCCCGAACAAGCCAACACGGTCTGAACCTGGTCTATTTGACCCGAACCAAGTCAACTCGACCTAACCCCTTGACTTTGACCAGAGTTTACTATTGACTTTAACCTTTTACCATTGAGTTTTACCCAAAAAGTTAAATTTTTTGAAAAATCATATTTTATGTTTTTCAATGTCTTGAGTCTGAATCCGAAGTCTTTTTCTCCAAATTTAAACTTGATAAGTTGTTTTTCAACATTTTTCTTTATGATTCAATCCGTTCTCCACAATTTAGCCCCGTTTTTAATATATTTTTTTGTTTATACGTATATGAGATATTATTGGATCTTGGATTCAAGTTTGAGAGTTATCGAATGGAGTTTAAATGTTCGATTGGTGGAGCACAAAATTGAGGCAATACATTACTACCTATGTATGCTTTATGGAATATGATGTTGTTAGTTAATGCATAGATGATTAAGTTTGGTTACATGTATGAAATAAATATATTTCGAAACTTGTTCCAAATGCGATGAAAAGTAATTAAACATAATAAGACTCAGATTACACGTATAAGACACTAGAAGACTTGTAAGAAATAATTTCAAGTTTAGTGATTAATCGATAAAGTAATAAACCTCATAATTATTAAATTACTTTTGTTAAAAGGTTTAATATCGTACTCACCTGATTATAAAATTACAAAATTGCTCTATGAGGTAAAAATGGTCCAAACTGACTTGAGAGCACAAGTACCTTGAGAATTCGTATTTTTAATTTGATAAATCATTGTTTCATCTGTTAAATTTTGATCTGCTCGGATAGTCATGATAATCAGATTCTAACATTAGAGAAGGTACACGACCTATAATTGTTGATTATCATTAAGCACTTAAAGACTAAAATATTGAAAGTATTATTCATGTTTGAATTATTCAGAAAATTTGAATTAAATGGAAAGACTAGAAGGAAGGAAGGAATGGACTATAATACCCTTGAATTGTAATGTGACCAAAATGCCCTTGCACTGCAAAAAGACCAAGATTCCCCCTAAAAGCGAAAAATAACGCTGAACAGATATATCTAACCAAATTACCGAAAAATGTACATATGTTTGGATTGGTAAGAATTATCGAAATGTCTTCGAGCTGTGAAATAACTAAAGTAACCTCCAATGTTCAAATGACCAAAATACCTTGAACTCTAAAGGAAACATAATACCTTGAAGTCTAAGATTATTGAATTAACCTTGATTGTTGAAGCAGCCCATTTTTATAACGACTTAAAATAAGTGGATATTGTTGCAATTTATGAATAAATTAAACACCACCGAAATATTTATTCATCGTGTGAAGATCTTGTCGATGTTGATTATAAAGGAGGTTCGTTCAACTAGTGCAATCAGTATGGGAGAGGGAATACCTGCTTGTCTTCCTAAGATCCATGCAACGATGATTCTAAAGATGATCAGTCCGGCTAGTGATGTCAGTATTAGAGTGTGAATACCTGTTTTCATTGGAAAATATAATCGTTTTTGATTTATGGATCAGGGGATCTATTGGTTTCTACTTGAATTGTTTTATTGGGACATTATATGGGTAGGTTGGAGTATGAAGGTTCAGCTCGATCAATCTGGTCACTCCTTAAATAGGTTTAAAACGATCGAGCTGGTAACTCCTTACGGACCTAAGGTGACCCTTAGGTAGGCTCCGAGGCCCCAAAAATCTTTCTTGGGTAGGTTTTCAGGCCCCAAGGCACTCCCTTCGGTAAATCGTGGGACTGCATATGGTGCATGACTGGAGGACATTTATGTGAATTAAATAACTACATGATCAGTTTTACAATATACTATTGGATCATGATTTTGATTTTAAAGTTACTGCTCAATTTGATTTTTACCGGGTACTATATGGGTAGGTTGGAGTATGGAGGTTCAGCTCGGTAAAACGGGTAATTCCTTATATAGGTTTTGTCTGATCGAGCTGGTAATTTCTTATTGACCTAAGAAGACCCTTGGGTAGGCCTATAGGCCCCAAGGTAGTCCCTTAGAGTGGCTCCTTTGCTATGTGCTTAGGGTAAGTCCTTATTGATGTAGTTATGGGGAAACTGCAAAAAGGTGTACGGTTTGAGGGTATTACTTTGGTTTTAAAATATGTTTTAAACTACTAACGTTTTGGAAGGATCTATACACATTACTATGTTTTGTTATAAAACACTAGACATCATTTTTCGATCTCCTAAATCTAGTTCTTTGAACTTTTTCCTATGAACTGTAAACTTCCTATCTTTTACTCGAAGAAATATCAGTGGAACCACAACTCATCCCGAAAACCTGTAGACGTCTGAATCAATAAGGAAAATTTATATTTTCCCATTTATTTGTATATTCTCAGCATCACTTGGTAATTTCGTATTATTGAGCTTCCCAAAGCTCACTCTTTTACTCTCCATTTTAGGTTAAAATAATCGATCCAATGAAGTTATCAACTTCAGTATTGGGAGTTCCATTCAGCTTTGCTTGCAGAGTACGATACAATATGTAATTAGCGGGCATGTAAGTCACATTTGACTTGTTTTATACTGAGTCTGGAACTTGTATGTATTTATAAATTGTTTTATGATTTTACATGTTTTAATAAAAATAATAATTTTTTTTGATTTTTATCCTCAGATAACGAAAACTGGATGGAAACTCAGTTTCTACATTTCTATGACTTGAGTGAATTTCGAGGACGATATTTCTTCTAAGAAGAGAGAATTGCAACACCACAAAATTTAATTAAAATGAAAGTTAAAGATCATATTGTAAATTATTAAAAGTTTACAACTTGGTTTTGAAGTCTGTAGGAAGTTCATGGACTTAGTCTTGAATATTCCCACGTCTACCTTCATCAAATCCGCCACTGTCTGACCTCCATAACCGCGCTGGCACCTCTATTCAAACTGCCACCTCGTCCCTACCAAAACCCCCTTAGTTTCAAGTCGTACGTCATTATCGTTCGTCGTTAATCAAATTTCGGCCGAAATGTCAAGGAAATCTTGGTCTTTGTTGATTTTACCTTTTTTCGACCAATCTGATCGTTGTTACAACACACCATCGCAACCATCAACTTCATTGGCGACATACAAACAAATCCCAATTTTTGATGTGACACCTCGAATTGGATCAGGTCACTCGCATTGGTATGTGGGTGTTATGGTAAGAGTCCATAGAACCATGATCAATAAACACAAATACATGTTTACCAAAAAGAAAAAACATACATGTATTGGTCTCAGAGTCATTAATGATCTTAGGGTCATCTTCGAATTCTTGAGACATACCAATAGATTTATTTGGAACGTTATCTTTTTTCTATATAGAGGTAAACCACTTAACACGTTCCTCCTCTTTAAGTGATGGGGTATTTATTCCAAAAAATGAAGGGAGACCTCTCATGATAGTGGCTCAGTTTCTAGGACGATATACAAAAGTTTTCTCTAGTTTATTCTACTCAAATGCAACCCTTTTTCAACATTATCCAATGATAATTGGGCACTAACACTTCTTACTCTGCCTAATCTACACCATGATCAGACTAATAAAACAACATCAATCACATAAAAACCATAACCATTTACGTTAGTAAGGAGCACATCAATCACATAAAAACCAGATCAATAATATTGACATCCTAATGGCATCTATATACTTTTTAACATAAAACAACTATAGTTTAGGCCTAGAATTAGCTAAACTTGTAGCTTTAATACCAATAAATGTAACACCCCTTTCCCGTATCTGTACTAGAATACGAGCCAGAGATGACACATAAAATATATAAGACATATCTTGTTTGAAAATTGGTAAAATTTTGTTTTCTTATAAAATTATCAAACATTAAGAATAATTAATCACGTAAAACCAAAATATAATATTTTTTTCATCTAAATCAAATCTTTTTTCAGGCTGTAACATGGCAAGCCAATAGTGTTTCATATAAAAAGTGAAACTGCCTAAATGTTGCTTATTTTAAAATCCATTTGGATAGCATTTAAAATATAATTTAATAAAATAATAATCATGAAAA